GTTTATCGGTACTATTTTCGGACGTTTGTAGCGGCCGATCGTAGGATTAATGAGGGTTTCAAAGGCGAACGACAGCGGGACTATTTCTGATGGTGCAGAGTTTGTTTCGTTATACGATTATCAATTAAAAAATAAACTTAAACTATTTTTCCATCGTTTAAACGAACAGTAACTAAAAAATCAAAATAATAACAGGAATATTTTAACAATAATTTCAAAGAAAAATATCTAAAAAATCGTATAAAAATTGAGAAGCTAATTTTGAGAAGAAAGGGTTTAATTCCTTCGTTTACAAGAGCCGGATGTTCGTCCTTTTCGGGTCAGCAACATAGAGTGCGCTGAAGAATGAACAAACTCGAAAATTTCCAGGAAATTTCCTGCAGTCGATAAAGTAAAATCCTGCAAACGTTTTTCTACTGTTATCTATCACCGATAATGTAGAGTCTGATATTGACGAACTCTAAATCACCTTCTGTTGCTGCAACAGAAAATTCGTACAAAATTGACGTAAAAAAAGATGATACGAAAAAAGAACCTATAGAAAAGAATGACCAAAAATTAAAATTTGTCATAGTTAAGAATTATAATTTAAAATAGAGATAAAAAACGGTGAAATTTTTTGGTAGTCCATTTAAAATCGTCAGCACTATAATTAGCTGTCAATGACATCATATAGCGTATTGCTGACGAATTCATACTTAGCTACGTCATGCTCCAACTTGGTATCGGAACAACCTTTAATATCCGTACATTTTCAATTAAAATTCTGCAACCTGAGTAATGAAAAATGTTGGTCTATCGATAATTGATCCGTTAACAAATCTGTACCGTTTAATGTCCACAGGAAGAAGAAGAAGAAATATGGCGAAGGTGATTAATGAGCCTCAGAAAAATATGATCGTCCCCAAATAAACCGAAACGATCCACGTAATACATTCATGCATATGCACTCTATTTGAACAGCATCAACATTTCCTGCTCCCTTTCGCGTCCCGTGGATATTCACCTAGTCTCGCTCACAGGCAAATAGGATTGAGTTTCAGCGTTTAACGTCCAGTGATTGATTATGCGAATATACACAACCTCCTAATGGCGCTTTCAGAATTCGGGCTGGAAACGTGAAAGGAACTGCATTCGATGCACAATTCTGAAATCACGACTGAAAATCTTGGAAATGCAATTTCTCTGTAAGTTTACCAATTCGTCATCACTGAAAATCACGAGAAATTTCTAAGGATAAGGGACACTCTACTTTCTCTATTTCTTCAAAGTTTGAATAATTCATCGCGACTGAAAATCTCGAAGACACAATTTCTCTGCAATTTTATCGACACATCTCAATTGAGAATTACGAAAAAATTCGAGAAAAGGGACACTTTGGGAATAGGCACTCCAATTTCTCTATTTCTCCAGAATTTCACTAATTCATCACGACTGAAAATCGCGAAAACGTAATTTCTCCACAATCTCACCAATTAATCCCAATTAAAAATCGCGAAAAAATTAAAAAAAGGGGACACTCGAGGAATCCCCCAATTTCTCTATGAATACCACAATTTCCACTAAAAAGCGATTTCTGCAAGAGCAGTCCGAGTTCCAAAATTAGCCAGTTAACAAAGATAAGCGCTTATCGCGGAATTTCTGTACGGCGAGGCCGAAATTAACGCTCGGTTCGAGGTCGTTGGCTGGTCTCTGGAGTGTATCCACCAAGTCGAGTCAGAGATCTCGAGGAACAAGTGCGTGCAGGTGCGTGCAGGTGCATTAAGGAGGCGGAGCGTACACACGGGTGTTTGGAATGGTGGTGTTCTGGAGCTATGGAAGGTGAGAGAGAAGGAGAGAGAGGGAGAGTTAGCATGGGAAACGGTCACGTGAGCGAAGGAGGAATATCGGCAGCGACATTTTTATCAGCTTGTTCCCATGGTCCTTTATGGCGGCGGTAGCACCATGAACAACGATTACGCCGACGTTAAATCGTCTATGTGAAGGCACTTGACTGCCAGATGACCCGTCGTGCTCGCGCGATAACCTAAAAGGCACCCATGGCTTCGCTCAAGCTGTCAGAACTCACCTATTTATAAATGCCATTTCGCCATATTTTTGTTTTATCGACCTGGTCGCGGCGGGACGTTATTTGCTCGCGGTGAAACGGACAAACGATCGCGGACGGAAAGCGATTTTCCGGGGAAAATTTATATTTGGAAGATTTAGTACCATTTCTGTCGATTATTTCCAGAAGAACAGTGAAATTTTATGTTTCTCCAAATATATATTTACGGAATCTCTGGAAAATTTGGGAGATTCGGAAGATTTGGATCATTTGGAAAAATTTGGAAAATTTAGAGAATTTGGAAGAGTTGGAAAATTGAGGAGATTTGGATCATTTGGAACTTCTGGAAAAATTTGGAAAATCTGGAAAGAGTTGAAAGATTTGAATTACGATTAAAACAAAATAACACCACAGATCTCTCTTCTTTTCAACATTATCCATTTATTGTCACCTTCTTCGTTCTCACAACGAATCACGAACATCGGTACAAAAAGTGCAAGTACAATCCTGATCTTATAATTTCCACCAAGAGAAAAAGGCACGCACATCCGATGACATTTTTTAATCGCGCGTTTATCTTTACGAATCGTTCGAGTAAACGTCGGTGATACCAAAATTCGTCGAGTAGAAACGGGATTATCGAGGTGTATAAAAAAAAAAAAATAGAATCACGAGTAACACGAGGTCTGCGGAATACGGAGTAACTGATGTTTCCGCAAAAGCCACTTGAAGCAATTTCCGTTCGGGCCTCTTGAGCGGCGCGTTACTATTTCGACAAGAGAGAGAGAGAGAGAGAGAGAGAGAGAGAGAGGGGGATGTATCTTACCTAACTAAAAGTGAACGTGAAAGAGAAAAAGAAACGAAACACAGCTGCCGATTGGCCTTACCGTCTAGCTATCTCTAACTTAAAGCTATCGCGATCGCGGTGATTAAAAGGTGCAATCCCGGACCATTACTCTTTGGCTACCTGTTTGGTAACGTCACCACATGATTCTCCGTTTCTTGTCATTTCTCATTCAGGAAATAACAATTCAGCTACGATTTCTTCTCTTTATCGTTCTTCAGACTTCGTTTCAACAAGCTGGAAGTCTCGAATGTAAAAAAATGACTGACAGTAAAGCGCAAAAGAAAAATATTCAAAGTTGCCATTTTCAAAATTCCGCTACAATTTTATGTCCTCGCTTGTCTTCCCGTCCAGGTAGCTGGAAGTCTCTAATATCAGAAGAAACAGGAACTAAAGCGCAGAATTCTTTCTTACGAAAATATTCAAAGTTACCGTTTCAGAAAATTCAGTCGCAATTTTATCTCTTCACTTTTCTTCCTACGTAACTCTTACAAGCATAATTAACCCTTTGTAATCGAGTGGTGACTGAGAAGCGACATTAAACAATCGTCACTTGGTGAATAATTAATCAAGTCAGAGAGCAGATCTACGGGGCCTCTATAAATTTATTCATTATAGTGAAATGGAGAATACGTTGAATATTTAAGTAAAATAGTATAGTTTATTTCTGCGTTAATTTTAAAAAATTTCAAACATTCGATTTGCAAACTTTTCTGTTACTAAATGACCTCCGAGTGCAAAGGGTTAATAGCTGGAAGTCTCGAATATAAAAAAATAACAACAGACCACCGATGCGTAAAATCGTTTGTTAAAAAAGTAATTATTCAAAGTTACCATTTCAAGAAAATTCCTCCAAATTTCCAAAGCATCCTCTTTCATAATTCACTCTTACTCGAACCACACAAACTATTCACAGTTCAATTCCCAAAACATCCTGACAATACTCCCAAACAACGCTTCCTTTTACTCAAACTGTATCCTTCGAATTTTCAAAATTCCTCCATCAGAGATCGAACGACTTCTCAACGATGAAAACACGGCACATCTTCCCGTGAACTAAACAAAATCCCGTCAATCCCTACCACAGCCGTTGCAAATTCTGCTCCATCGGCACCTGTTCCATGTAATTCACGTACTGCATCTGATAATTAGCCGGGCCTAGATAATTCGAGAAGCCGTAATCGCTGCTCGAGACATCCATCACCGGTCTACCGTCGCTCACCATGCACTTATTCTCCGCGTTGATGTTCTTCAGATCCGGAAACGGCGCCACTTCGTTCCCGTTCCCTTTCATCTGTCTGTGACAATCGTGCGCGTTCACGCGAGGATCCGCCGGCAAATTGTTCCTAAAATCCGCGGTTGCGACGACGTGGTGCTGTCTCGCTTGTATCTCGCCGTTCAAACTCGACTTTCCGCTGAGGTCGGAGTTGATTTCCTGTTTGAACTCGGGGCTGATGCACGCCTCCATCTTTATGTCGCCGGAATTCGTCGTCCTGAATTCGGGACTCAGGCGAATTTCGTTCATTCGGAAGTCCGGTTGCATGGAAACTGCCAAGTCTGGCCTGATGTTGGGCCAGTAAGGAGGATTGTAGGGCTCTTGAAGATTTGGTTTGCCATCTTTGATCAGTACCGGTACGTGGATCTTTTTTAGAGACTGATTCTTCATGTTCTGGGCTTGGAGCTTCTCCGCGTCTTCTATTCTCGCTCGTTTGTTCTTGTAGCGACGATTTTGGAACCAGATTTTCACTTGGGTGCTGGTTAGTTTTAGGGTTTGGGCGAGGAGCTCTCTTTCGGGGGCGCTTAGGTATCGTTGCTGCTTGAAGCGTTGCTCGAGCTCGTAGACTTGAGTCTGTGGACAGTTGAAAGTGGAAAATTGTTGAAGAAATCGTTTGTTGTAGATTAGTTCGAAATCGACCTCTTCGGGAACAATTTTTTTAAACTAATTTTGTACGTAGTTGTAATATGTGTTTTATTCATTTTAAATTGGCAGCGATTAAGGTTGGAAGATCATGTGATTTTCATAATTTTTCTATCGCAAGTATTGAAATTTGAAAATAACTGAATTTACACATAGTGTAGCGTCAATTTGATTCGAATAATCCGATCTACACCTGTCTATTTAAACCAAAATTGAACGTGCTACTAATTCTTCATAGATTTCAAACTGACACAGCAATTCATCTCATTTCGACTGCTTCGTATAACAAAAGCCTCGTTAAAAAATTCTTAAAATTGCTAAAATCTTTCTGAAAATTTTTGTGTAATTCACAGTGCTCTGAAACTTTCCCCCGGTAGTGTACACTACTTCCACTCGGACATTCTAAACCTGCAGTCCCGAATTTCCTCAAGAACGTTCTGAAAAGAACTCACTTGAGAAAACAGCACTCTCGGCTTTCGTTTCGTCCTCTTCCCAGACTGGCTCTTCCTCAGCTCGGTCTTGCTCGAAGTCACCAAGTTACCTGCAACCAAACCCCAACACCGCGTCAAATCCTCAGCTCGACCACTAAAATCCGGCAATAAAAGCAAAAAGATCAATCTTACATACCGTCTTCTGTAACCGGAGACTCCTGATACGGCGGAGCGATATGATTGAGCTGATGAACGTGTCCCATATCGGGATAATGAGGATAAGCCGACATCGACTGTTCCTTGAACTTCTCCACGTCCCAATTATTCTCCGGCACGATATTGTACCCGTAGTAATCCTGCGGGACGTGTTGCTGCTGAAGCTGATGCTGATGATGCGCGGCAGAGTAGCAATCCATGATCCCTAACTGCTGATCCTCGCTGAGAATGTCGCGGACGCTGAACGGGGTTCCGGAGACCGAGGAAGACAACATTCTAACGCATTCTCGGCGTTTCTTCCCTAACTTCTTCCAAATATTCGATAGAAAATCGAGCACTGCCACTTGGAAGATTCACTCGCGAAGCACGAACCACGAGCATCGAACTTCCCCCGATTCACAGGAGTAAGGAACAGTCTGAGAGTCCTCTTCGACCGTCAAATTCGCGAGAACATTTTAAGACACTGAGCTGTTGGAGAAAACGATCATTCTTCAGGCTCGAGGAACGAAGAAATGTATCCAGTTGACAGGGAACGGTAGAAATCCTCGGCGATGATGCTCCGCGTGGTTCGAAGGGGTTAGTCTCGCGTCTCGAAACGTCGCAAACAGATGTCGAACGAGGAACGGAGGATAAAATGTTCTATCTAGATTATAAATATTTTCGTGACGTTCCGTTTGGAAATTTTCGACACTCGCGTGTGGTAGATCACCTTGAACAGTTCCCGCGGAAGTTGGAGAAACGTGTTTTTGGGGGATGATGGTCACGGTTGAACGGTCAGGCCGGAGGGCAGACTGGCAATGTGACTTGGTCTGACAGAGGGAGTGAAGTGTTGGTCTCTCCTCCGTGGTCCACACGGCCAGCTGCGCGGGTGTGTGCGTGATTTTTACCAGCACACTGGCGCAACACACGGGAAGAGACTGTCGAGCAGCCGCAACCACGAGTTCTACGGGGTGGTCGGATCCTCTGATTGGAGATTTTAATTTGTCTTCGTGGTGGTGGACAATTTTGAACGGAGCTGGAGTCGAGGCTGTGAAAGGGGATATTTTTTTGATAGGGGGGAGTGTTGTTGGTAGAGAAATTAGGGCGGAGCATACGTAATTCGAATAGAAATGTTGAGTAATTTTTTTCCTTTTTTTTTGTAAGGTGTTTATTAAGGTGGTTTTAATTTGTGACGTATACAGGTGATTTTTTTGTAGTGGAGATTTTTATTGACAGAGAAATTGGGGTGGGACGTAATTAAAATAGAAATGTAGAGGAATTTCTTTCTTCTTTTTCTAAGATATTTGTTAAGGTGGCTTTAATTGATGACTTATACAGGCGTTTTCTGTTTTCTCTTCATAGTGGAGATTTTCATTGGCAGAGAAATTGGGGTGAAACATATTTCAAATAATTTCTTCTTATTTTTTTTTAAGGTATCTATTAAGGTAGTTGTCAAGGTTCATGGACAATTCCGAACGAAGTTGTAGTCAACTTAATTAAAAGAGATATCTCTTTCACAGTACAGATCGTCGTTGACAGAGGAATTAGGGCGGGACACGTCCTTCCTCCTTCAAATTCAAACCTCGAGTAATTTTTCCCACTCTTCCTTCCAGGGTGTTTATTAACGTGGTTTTAATTGCTGATGTATACACCAGTCGTCAAGATTCATAGCTTTTCTTCTACTTGTTTAGGTAGCAGTTTTTACACACAAACTTTAGCGTCACCCACAGTGCTGCTCCTTTTTTTACGGCTTTTTTACGAGAGATTCTCGGATCCCTTTTCGGGGTTGAGTGTATCTACAATTCACTTACAATGTTCCTACGAGAGTCTTCGTAAATCCGCTGAAAACAACAATCGAACGTAACTTTAAATTCTGTTGAAAAAGAGAGCAGTCGAAACGACGACAAATTGGCCTCTTTTCTCCCAAATGTTTTTCTCGATCGAGCGAGTATTCGGGCAGAGGATCGACGGAGGTTTCGTCGAAATAAAAAAATTCACCAGTTCCCGGCGTGGCATGATAATTATGACGATCGGAAGTGCGGGAACGATTAGGGAGATGGCAAATCGGTTTTTGCCGTGGGACAGCCATAACGCGGTGACTAACGTTGGGGCGGAGGAGAAGACGCAAGGCCCGCCTATGCTCGAACAACCGAACCAATCCAGGCATACCGTGAACCACGCTTCTAAAAGCGGCGATTAATGTTCGATTCGCGTGATTACTGCCCTCCTATACTCTCGCCGATCTCCCTTCCCCCGTCAATTCGATCGAAAACAACGCCGTAAATAAAAAGTAAAAATCAACCCTTGCTTCGGAGACGTATTTTTGGCGCATTCGCACCGCGAGCGTGGGACGTTTAGGCTTGACGCGATTTCAGTGGGTAAAAGTGTTTTGAAAAATGGGAAAAAATTTATGGAGATTCTTGGAACGTTCTGAGCAAGATTTCAATGCTCGAGAAATTTTTTTTAGTGCGGAATGAAAGTCTGTAAACATATTTTTGGTACCTTTAAACCATAATCGTGGGTTATTCATATTTGACACTTTTTTCAACGGATGAAAGACTTCGAAAAATTCGTATATTCTCTTCGAGAAGATTTCACTATTTAAAAAATATTTTTAGGAGAGCGAATGAACGTTATTTATTAATTTTCGAGAAATGAATGCCTCTGGAATTATCTTCGACAAAATTGGTCCACGTTAACGGAGTAAGAGTTGCTTTTCGAGTGAAATTAGAACTCTTCGATGCTTTTTGGGGAAAATGGAACGTGTCAGGGGGGTGTCAGACACGTGACAAGTTATAACGATCGTGAGGTATCGATTTCGTGGCTGGATCGGTGATGGAACAGGGTTGGAAAGGAAAACAAAACAATCCATTTTTCTTGGCCGACGGCAGGACGAGATCCTCGCGGCTCATCCTCGGGACCGCGACATCGACGAGTCGAAAGTAACATACTCCAGACACGCTTTTAGAAACGCTCCGAACCCTTGACGCTTGTGGAATTTGTAAAATCGCCCCTTTTCTCGTTCGAGCAAGTCTACCTGCGCTTTCTGTCGTGATTTTTCAAACGTTAGACACGTTTCTGTATGCAGCGAAATTGATTAGGAAATTTATGTAAAGGAAGGCTCGATTTCTTGTCGCACTTCGTTCATTCCTTTCATTAATGAAATTTCTATTCGCTATATTTTCTACTTAGGAGGTAGCACATTTTTAAATTGCCAAATAATTGATATTTATAGTGCTTTTATAAACAGTATACAGGAAGATAGACAGACATTTTCTTCAAAATTTCTCAGGTTTCTTTTTAAAGAATAATACTAATTGAAATTTTCTGCTTTTAAGTCACTTCGACAAGTGCTAGGCTGTACTTTCGATTAGTTGCACGTTGCTGACAGTGCAAGCTTGAGATACAAAATTTCCAATAGCAATATTAAAAATTGCATTCGACAAAATTTTTTATTACAGTTTAATGTATTCATTGTGTGTTTAATGTATTTTAGAAATTAGTTGTGATATAGTTTAAGGAAGTCCTTTTCCATCGAAACAGGAAGTATTGCAATATCTTCGCTAGTTTCGCCAGAAGAAATTCTTAAAGATCGCTCACGTTTCGGGCAATCAAAGCGGACTCCCCTAACCCTAGAGCGGTCTTCGGGTCTTTTTTGACCCACCGCCCTTTTATATTTTTAGTAATGTTTGCTGTTATCAAGTTTACGTCCCTTGACATTACTTTCATGCGTCGCGTTGGCAACAAAAATGATTACACATAAGGTCTCAGGTCCTTTTTCACACAAAAGTCTTAAGTGTACAGTCAAAACGAAGAACGCAGTAGGGTTAACAATGCACGAATCTCGAGAATTCTTCCCCTCTGTATCGTTCAATAACTTCCTTCCCTCGATGAAATGCGTTCTAGCAGAAAGTTCGTCGTAGGAAATTCTCTCAAAAAAAAAAAAAAAAAAAAAAAAAAACAACCCGTTCGAACGTCGAATCTGAGCGACGGTTTCACGAAGAGTCTCTGGAACTCGTTGGTAATTTGCAACGGAGTGCAACCACCGACAACCCTTGTCAACCGAAGGCGGCTGTTTATTATTCCGCGCGTACTTCTCATCGAACGTACGCGGAATTACACGGAGGCGGCGCGTGCGTGAATGCATGCGTGGCCGTGTGGTGCGTGGTAGGCGCCAAGAGATACCGAGGCGCCTTCTTAATTGTGGGAAAGC